CTTCAATAACCTCCCTAGGTTTGAAGTCTAAAGACTGGGTCCTAACCTAAATCCTAAAAAAATCAAAAATAAATTTCAAAATTAACCCCTTTGATATGAATTTTTTTTAGAAGTTGGTTTTAAATTTCTATTAGAAAGTACTTGATTGATTCTTATTAATGGAAATAAAAAATCTATCTTAAATTTTCAAAGGAGAAATTTATGGTTGATTCCATTTAATACTCAAAGGTAAAAGAACTCGTAAATGATCAAAAATAGAAAGAAACATATGATGCATTAAACCTGCATTGGAAGCCTCTCCAAACTCAATGATCATGATCATCATCATTAACATGATGCATTAAACAAACGTTGAACCTTAATTGACCATAACATGCTAAAATCCTAAACTATCAAAAATATATCTTTTTTAAACCTCTGTATGGCTCAATCAAATCAAGCCATGCAACTTTCTCCACCATATCAAAAATATAATTTGGAATGCATTGAACTAAATCTCAAGCCTTGGTCAAACAATTAGCCAAGTCAACCTATGTTGACCAAATTTTCCTTTTATCCTAAACAAAATTACATGTCTGGAGACCCCACCAAATCTTGAGACCACCTCAAACAAATTATAAACATCATTTATAATGCCTTTAATCAAGGTTGACCAAAGAGCCCTTTTAGGCTTTAAACCTGCATTTTGGACTAAATGGAATTCATATTACATAGGACCACTTTAAACATGTCCAAAATATCATTTGAACTAGTTTGACCCACCATTGACCCCTAATCAAACAAGGTTGACCAAGTCAATCATGGTTGACTAAAACATACCATACACACTTAAAATTTTTAAAACTCTAAATTTTGACCACACAATTGAACCAAACTCTAAGGGACAACTCATTTGATCCACATGAGTCATCCAAAAATATTTGAGCTCAGGGGCCACCTAGTTTAACCTTTTAGGTTGAAGCAAGTGCACCAAAAGGGATTTATGTAAGCCAAAACCCACCCTTGAAAAATTAAATTCCCTAAATGATTGTAGCAAGTGTGTATTGACCGAATTCACATGACACATGAAGCTCAACCCATGGTTTAACCTGGGTCAACCATTTGGGTTGAACCAAGCACCCAAAAATCCACTTTATTGGGCTTATTATTGATCCACCAAAAATTCGACCCAACCAAAGGTTTGAATAGGCTCTAGAACCTTCCCTTTATAGATTATGTCAAGCTTAGGACACCACAGCTACTGATATGGTAAGATTCCCTAAGAAAATCTATCTAATTATTGGTTGAACCATAAACCCCTCAATAACCATCCATTCACTTTCAAACTCTCTAGAACCTTCCCTTAGATCCTATTTATTAGTCCCTAACTGAAAAGGCTATTGACCTATACTCTCCTATAAATACCACCTCTTCCCTTAGAAAAAGGGTTGATCAAACTCATTCTTTAGCCTCATAGAAGGATCCCCAACTCCTCCATAGGTTCTTCCTATCACCCTCCATTAAAAAAAAACCCCAAAACCATCAAGAGAGAGAGAGAGAAGGAGAGAGAAAGGATAACTCAATCCATCTCTTGTTCCAGTGGAAATCATTAGCTCGTGGAATCTTCTAGGAACCTGAAGAGGATCCTTCAAATAATCCATAGAGATGTGTTTTATTTACATATTAGCAAATTCCCGTCATCCAACATATCCCATAATTACCCTGGATGGTTTCATTACGGGTGGTAATTGGGATCGCGTGAAACTAAGGCAATTCTTTGGGATTGAACTTGTTGATCTCATATGTATGGTTCTGATTTCTTCCTGTTTAGCTGCTGACAGATTGGAGCTGAAGTTTAAAATGATAGGGAAGTCCATCTTGTCTCTTATTATGGATGAAAGGAATAAGATCTCGGGTGAGGTTATTTCTTTCAACTCGATTTATAAATTGAAGCTGAATGCTAGGCTGGAGGTGTTCTTATGGAGGTTATTTTTGAATGCTTTGCCTACTGCTGAATTCTTTTGTAAAAGAAATATTGCTGATAATCCTCTTTGTCCGATGGGCTGTGAAGTATTGGAAGATTGTAATCATATTACTACTTGCTGTAGTAAATTATGTAAGGTGTGGATGTTCTGAGAGGATGGGAATTTCATATTCCTATTTTCAATGGGTGGATTGATTGCTTGGGAAAGCTTAAGAAGCAAAGGGACGATAATGTGATGTTGATTAAACCGTATGTTATTGCTGTCTGGTTTGTTTGGAACCAAAGGAACAAGGTGAAGCATGGAGGACCAGAGGATAGCAATGTGTTCATTGCCACTTCTATTCTTGGTTTTATGATCCATGGTCATTCTATGGTGTTTCAATCGGGTAACTCGGTTGTTAATCAGTCCAATGGGCTGTCTCTTAATAAATGGCAACCTCCTCCCCCCGGTTGGATTAAAATGAACATAGATGCATCTCTGAAAGGAAATTATGAAGCTGACATTGGAGGAATTGTTAGGGACTACAAAGGTAAATTCTTACTTGCGTTTGGAAGGAAGAAGATTCATTGGGATATTACCCAACTTGAGATGGTGGTCATTAAAGAACTTGAAGATGTTCTAAATGGCAGATTTTGTGGAGTTGAAGGTATTATCGTTGAAGGTGATAATAAGAATGTCATTGATATTCTTCATAAAGTGCACAGTATACCGAAGAATATGGACGAAGGATCGATGATTGAGGATTCTTCTCTTCTTATAGAAGTAAATAATGTGATTTTTCATTGGGTTAATCATGGTTGTAATAGACTAGCAGATTTTTGTGCTAGTCATGCTGTTTCTTTAGATTTTATTTGGGATTTGTTCTGTGAGAATGTTTTACCGTCTTGCTTTTGTAATATGGTAAAGGAAGAGTGTGTAGAAGTTCCTCACATTTAGTAGTTTGTTTTAGGCTTTGTTTTTCATTTTATGCAATTTTTGCATTCATCAAAAAAAAAAAAAAAACATATCCCATAATTCCTTTCTCTTATGAACTTCCATGCTGAGATACAACTTCAAGAATGGAAAGAATTCTAGAGAGAAAACGTCCAGTTCGAATTCTAGAGAGAGAAAGTTTCGCCTCCTGGTTTTGAATTTGGTTTTCGAGGGTTTTTTGCGATCGAAGGTGACTACACCGGAGGATCAGTGGCGTCTTCCAGCCAGTCTCGATGATTGCTCCACGATCATCTGGCCCTCTTCGATCCAATGATAGAGGAAAAAAAGGAATAGTGATTAGAGAAGGATTTACGCCTTTGATCCATCAAGAACAGATTGAAGGTAAAGGGAAAAATGTTGTGGTGGATGAATTGCTTGCACGGAAGGAGATGAATGTTGAATGCAATCTAGGTTTAATGAATTCTGAATCTTCGGCTTCAGAGAATTTGGTCTTACGGGTGAGAATTTTTTTTGAGGTTCTTGACGCACATAAAGGGAGTAATATTGATGATGGCTCTGTTTCTTTGGAAGCCCGAAAAGATGATGTCTCTATTTCTTCGGTAGCCCAGAAGGATGATTCTTTGAAAGGCATTGGTGAAGTTGCTGAGGCTTGGTCGAAACCAAAACCTATCAAGATGACGTTTGATAGAGATCAAGTGAAAATTTTTTAGGATGGTGTGGCGGTCATGTTAAATACGGAAAGGGAGGTAGAGAATTCTAAAGTATTTAAGAGTTCGATAGTACTCAAAGTTTTGGGGAATAGTGTGCCATTTTCAGTTTGTAGTTTGGAGCTGAGAAGACAGTGGAGCCATTACGACAAATTTCATTTGACCTCAATAGGACTGGATTGGATACTCTGTTCCTTCAATTCGGGTGAGGTGATCGACGAAATTCTGAACGGAGGCCGCTGGTATGTGAATGGACTTATCGTTGGTATGGATAGGTGGACTCCCTCATTTGATCCGAATTCATTCAAAGGTATCTCTGCACCGGTGTGGATTCGACTTCGATGTCTACCGCTGTATTATTAGGATGAAGATAGCATAGCAAGAATTGCTTCTTTCTTTGGATCACCTATGTATGTGGATGGGAATACATTCTGGTGGAGTAAATGTGAGTTTGCTCATGTTTGTGTAAGAATTGATTTGGAGAAAAAACTGTTGAATGGTATGTGGGTTGAAGGTTCTGCTGGGAGATTTTTCCAACGGGTGGAGTATGAAGAAATTGATCTTATGTGCTATCAATGCGGAAGAGTAGGCCATAATAAGAAGGTATGTCTGAAAAATGTCACTCTAATGATGAAGGATTAAACGTTAAAGAATATGGATGCTGACAACGGGCAAGACAAATTGGCTGGACATGACAGTAAACAGTCCGTGGTTAGTACTAAGTATGGTCCTTGGATTCATGTCTAATTCAAGATCAGACGAGCTAGAAGAAACATTACCAACAGTAAAAGTGTAAAGGATATCAAGAGCAAACCAGATTATATAGTTTCTGAGAATATGCAAGTTACTCAGACTGAAGAAATCCAGCTGCAGGCAAAGACTGACTGTAATGTTGATAAAACTGGTGGTGTTCCAGGGAAGTATTCAGATTTAGAAAAGGATTCTGAAAATGAGATTTGTGTTCATTCAACAAATTGTTTTGCTGTTCTGGTGGTGGAGGAGGAAGGAGAAATTCTGGGTAACGTTGTAAGTAACGTTAAAGTGGTAGACAAAGGCTTGGAATCACTGGATTCAGAGGTAAGCCATAATGCACTAAATTATAGTAGTGGTGGTGTAAAGGTTAAGCTAGCCGAAGAATTGAAATCATTCGGACCTGTTGATAGTGATTATCAAAAAAAGAAGGAACTGATGGCTGCAAGCTTATGATAGCATGGGATGGACAACTCTTCGGCATATTTTAAGTTGGTATGGTTTTCCTACTATTTTCTCTAACCTTCTCTTGGAATGTGTTGTAGATGTGAGATTTTCCGTTATTATCAACGGGAAGAATTCTGAATGGATTAATGCCCAAAGTGGATTCCGTTAGGGATGTCCACTTTCACCATACTTATTCATCATGTGTTTCCAATTAATTACTAATTCAATAGAGCAAAGGGGGAAGAGTCTTGGCATTCAAATTTCAAGTGGAGGACCGAAGATTACTCATTTGCTTTATTCAGATGACGCTCTCATTTTTTCTCATGCATCTGTTGAGCTTGCTAAATCTATGAAGACCATTGTGGAGAAATTCTATAAATTGACTGGGCAAAAAATTAATGTTAGTAAATCTATGTTGCTGTTTGGGAAGGAGGTCGGCTATCGTAAGAGGAAGAAGATTGGCAGAACTCTTGGCTTCAAGATAGTGAAGGAAATGAAATGCTTGGGAGTGAAGATTTCACTTGAAAGAATTAGAATGGCTTACTATCAAGAGATTCTAGGCAATGCCATGGAAAGACTTAATGCTTGGAATAGGAAATCTTTATCCTTGGGAGGTAAATTGATTCTCATAGAAAGTTCTTTGCTTTCTATGACAAATTTTTTAATTACCCATTCTTCGGTACCTAAGAGGTTATTACATGATTTGGAAAAATTGTGTAGAAGCTTTATTTGGAACAATAAAGATGGAACTAAGGGAATGCATTATATTGCTTGGAGTGATATTTGCAAACCCAGGTGTTTGGGAGGATTGGGATTGCATTCTCCTCTACATAGCATTGGGTCTTTAAGATCCAAAGTGACATGGAATTATATTCAGAAGCCTTATTCTTTGCTTCACCGTGTTATGAAGAGTAAGTATGATGATAATGTGATGAAGGGAACTCAAAGGAACATCAGTTCAAATGCATGGAAAATTATATTGGATGGGGGGAATAATCTGATGATGGCGGTTTGTTGGAAGGTGGGTAGAGGAGATAAAATCAATATTTTAAATGACACTTGGTTGCTTGATAGGTGTATTAATCGTTGGCCTACTTTTGTGGATTGTAATTTCCTGGATGGTATGAATGTGCAGCAATTGATATTACCTAAAGGCATGTGGAATTCTGAATTGTTACATAGAGCATTTCACTCATACCTTATTTATTTAATTACTCAAGTTCCAATAGAGCATGGTGAGGAGGACCAGATGGAGCTGATGAGGATGTGTTCGGGGAAGACTGTGTCTGTCTTGGTATATGAACAAATGTGGCTGAACAAATGCAATTTGGAGGATGTGGAATACATCAGCTGGGTGAAGAATTTGAAGAAGAATAAGAAAATTGAAATTTTCTAGTGGAGACTAGGCAAATCAGCTATTCCAACTAATATGTTTCTCGTGAACCGAAGAATTTCAGATAATACTCTTATTGTTAGAGGTTGCCAAGTTAATGAAACTTATGAGCACATTATGATGCATTGCAAGTATCTGATTGAAATCATTATGAAGATGCGGGAGTGGGGTATTTTTATTCCTGTTTTCCATTCACTGGACTATTGTTTGAAGGACTTAAAGAAGATGTCTGCACAGAATTTTGGGATTGTTCGGGTGTACTGCTCTATTGTATATTACTCTTGGAAGAACCGGAATGACATTAAGCATGGTAAGTCTGCTATGCCATGCTCCATTGTAGCTGCTAATGCTCTATTTTTTGTAGTCTCCAAATCTGATCCATTTCTTTCTAGCTGGGATACTAATCTCCTTAGGGAGTCTCAAAGAACTTGGTACCCTCCACCAAAAGAATGGATTAAGGTTAATGTAGATGCATCTTTGACAAGCTCTAATTTGGCTGGTATTGGAAGAATTTTCTGTGACTACAAAGGACATTTTATTAGTGCCTTTGGAAAGAATGGAACTCATTGGGATATTGGTTATCTTGAGCTAGAAGCTGTCCTCACGGTTAAGGAATTTTTGAAGACCTGGATGTTGGAATGCAAAGGGCTAATAATAAAAAGTGATAATATCAATATTATCAAATTCATTCAGAATTTTTTAAAGAAGAATAAGGAGAATGTGGAGAAGTGGCCGCATAAGAATTTATGTTTTTTGAATGATTTCAATAAAGTTGTTCTCCTCCATGCTTATAGAAGTTGTAATAAAGTAGCAAATTGTTGTGCTACTATGGCATTGGAGAGTAGTTTCTTCTTTGATAGCTTTTCTTTTGATTGCATTCCTCCCTTGGTTTTAGGCTTAATAAAAGAGGAATGTGATCCTTTCATTACTTGTACTTAGTTTCCCTTATTGGTTTTAATGCTATTTGATGCATTTCTTTCAAAAAAACAAAAACCAAAACAAATAATCCATAGAGTTTAAGGTCTTGCAAATCCGTTAACTAGTTAGTGAAATATTCTCACTTGAAGTTTTAAATTCAAATTAAATTTACCCAAAGCTTCCTTATATGCATGACTTTTTGTTAGTCTATTAAAAATCATTTCTAATGTCATTTTGTTTGCTAACTTTTTATCCCTTTTAAAATTTTTGGGAGGATAGCTCTATTTTTTCTAATATGAGTGACAGAAGCCTTTTAGCATTAATATTTATCGTGCATTTGCATGCACACTTACTAGTAAAGTAATGCAAAGTTTGTTGGACATAATAAGCATTTTTCGTCAACTTTTAATGCAATATATCATTTATTAAACAATATTGCTACAATCCCAAAATAACTATATAAACAATCTTTGGTTGTGCACTTTTTAGATGGGTCAATCAAAATAAGAAGTGTCATATATTTTTGTTTAGAAAGTGTTTTTATTGGATCACATAACTAAAATTTCTTGTGGCTTGTGTTTAAATTTTGTTTTTGTTAAGAGTTTATACTTATCGAAACATACTCACTTTGTTTCTAGATATGTTTTTTTTTCACTCCAAGTAGTATTATTTCTTTATCCTTTGTTTTACTTGTTCAAATTATTTTTCCATATTTTATTTGTTGATTAATTATTTTGTTCTCTTTGCTTCTTAGATTCCATCAATGTAGTCTTAATTCCAAGTCTGCACCAATGATGTGGCATCGGTCCACTGTACAAAGAATCTTATGCAATACATGTGGACTTATTTCCATATGAGGTATGTGTCCAATGATTCGACAATTCTTTCTTTATTGAGCTAACTTTATAGACTTTATCTTATTTGAAAATAATCATATCATTAAAAATGGTTTCCGAACTAAAGAATTATAATACATTCATATTTAGTGTAAGTACTTCGGTAAATTTTCTTAATTCAAAATAAGACATCAATATATTATGCGTAGAAATTTTATTATTATGCAACTAGATAATTTGAATCAAAATTTTCTTCTTGATGAAAAGTTATATCTTTATAAAAAAAGAATTATGTTAAAGCATTACTTCAATCTCAATTTGTATAAAAAGTCAAGTAATGAGGGAAGTAGAAATTTAAATTATAAAGTAAATTCTATGTAAGTTATAGACTATTATCATGAAAAAACAAACAAAAAAAAAATATTTTTATAGTGATTCAACTTCTAAAGCAAGCCCAAATAAATTTCCTCAAACTCATGGATATTGTTACTAAATCATAGCTTGACTTTGGTGAAATATAGAATCCCATAACTCCCTCTGTTGGATTCATATTTATATGGAGGATGATATTAGACCCTACTAATAGATTTGCTTGGTAAGCTAAGGGGAACTTGTAAGTTAAAATAGGTGAGGAGAGTATTAGAAAGAAAGTAAAGAAGAATAGGAGTAAAGCCTAGGCGAAATAACCCATATTAGTGATACTTTGTGGCAACACAGGATTTCGGTCCTATTGTGTTGGCCTTCGAGATCGGAGTAATAATTTAGCTGGATGGTCGGGGGCATTCGTATTTCATAGTCAGAGGTGAAATTCTGTGATTTATGAAAGACGAACCACTGCGTTAGCTTGGATTGTAATTTGTTTTTTGAATCCCCTATGATTGAGAGTTTTTTATATAATGTAATGCAAGCATTTTATTACAAGAATAGTTTTTTATGCATTGTTTTAATTAAATGAATATGATTCATGCCATTATAATGATGACATGTAATAAGAATAAGATTTGATTTTTGATTGTCATTCTTCATCCAATGTAAGTGATATTCGTATAATAATCATTACTATGAGGGATAAAAATAAGTTACTCATGTCGAGATAATACACTATTTAGAGTGATGAAGTATTAGTGGCCCGAAGGAAAGTGCCAAGGGGAGAGAGAATGTGAGCGAGTTCTAAGGAGATCTTCCCATCATGAGGAGAGGGGAGGAAAACCATTATAATTAATCTTGATTGGACTATTAATTTAGAGTCTGCTTGGGGAATTATAACTTTTTGTGAGGATCATGCTAAAAATTTCACTCATCGTTATCATTTTATTAAGGTGACATCTTTTTATCTACGTGACTACCTTCCAAAAATGCATCATTGAGTTTATCGAGAAGGGTGATTTGCCTGGGCCTCTTCTACTCGTTTAACATGCTAAAATTTTCTTTAAGCCATACTAATATTCTCATGATGATTTTTTTGGGTATGTAAAACCAAGTATCAAACACAAACAAAAAAAAGAAAATAGTAGAAATGAAAGAATACTAGGATTTATAATGGAAAAACATGTCATCAAGAAAAAACTAAAGAGCCACAGTACACCAAGAAAAGCACTATGAAAATCTTGGGTAAATAGTACAAATTTCTTCTCTCTTACTCTTCCCTTGTCTAACTTTACTTCATAATTCATTCTCTACATAGAATTGAAAAATATTTGAATTAACTTACCCTGAGGGATGCAATAATTAAAGTTAAACATAACAAAGTGAGAAATCTACCCAACCTAACTCATAGTTTTACAATGTTCGGTTTGAAGCATTGTGGTGCTCCACTCTCTATCTCCAGCGTGAGTAGTAGTGTTGTGATGCTAGTTCAGAGAACTGCGATATTTCACTCTCTATCTCTAAGTTAGTACAATTGACAGTGTCGCAATGCTCAAGTGTAAAACATCATAGTGTTGTATTGTTGTACAAGAATAATTCTTTTTTTTTTTGGCAAAGCCTCCATATCAAAAAATAGGACATGCCCCCCTCCTTGCAGCCCCACAAAAAAATCTATGGACTGAATGGAGGTTTTGTCAATAATACAACTTGATTGATCGACATAATCAATTTCCACAAAGAAGTAACTAGCTCTCTCTTGAAATTTTTTTGTGATCAATCCTTATCTCAATTTGCAACTCCAATCATAGTACCAATAGTGTGGCTCATTCTTTCGCTCATCCATCATGTAGAACAACTGATGTTAGAAATAACATCAGTTTATTAACTTTCACCATCTTCGCCAGCATGTCTGCAGAATTCTGGGTTATTTGTATCTTCTCTACTCCAAATATGAAATAATAAAATAATATTGAATATGGACGTGTTTTATCCTTGCACAGAATCTTGCATTCTTGGTTAGATGAATATCACTCATATCGTCACTATTTAACTTTCCATTCCTTTGTACTTTGTCATGTTTTGTCATGTAATTTTGCAATGTTCTCAGCTTTTTTGGTTAAGAAAGTAATCTTTTACAATTTGGAAACAAACTTTTTGTAGTATTTACTAAAGTGAGGTTATGCTTAGTTGTGCTCCTATCATCAAGATTTCCAGAAATATAAAAAATCTACATATCCCTTTAATTTAGTCAATATACCCGTGATTACATGTACAAGTACTCATTGGCAAGTGTCTTGCATGTTATGATCTAGCCAAGATAAAGAAGGATGAACTCCTCTCTTGGAACATATCATTCGAGGGACTTGCATAGGAAGTGGAAGAAGCTTAATATTAGAGCACGACAGATTTGGATCAATCACTCAGTCTAGAAAGTCATCAAATTTTGGGGGAGGGTGAACCCAAAAGTTTCTCTCTCAACTAGATAAATAATTATTCAGCTAAGATAGAGCCAAGTCTCCCATGCAAGATACATTAAGCATCCAATGACACACATTGCCTCTTCAAAGATCTCCCTCTTACATTCACATAAAAGTCCACATTCAAATGCTACTCGCCCCTCTTAACTTATTGGGGTGGTCCAGACCAACCTCCCTTCTCGCATTATACCATCATCTGAATAACATCAAGACAGCACTCATCCCCACTCATCTCAATAGAGAAACTACATATTATCATCTAATCTTGCCTAACTAACCCTCAACTATCTAGCAGCTTAGCATCAACAAATTAAAACCAAAGATTAATGGGACAACTACATATTATAATGTAATTCTCTCAATCTCTAACTTCATTACATTCTCCCCACAGGCTCCGAGCCTACCA